TTATTTATATATTAATAGGGTGTGAATAATATAGCATAAGCATTATCAAAGAACTGAGCTTAGCTGATTTGGGGGAGAACCCCATTAAGCGGAGGGGTAGAAATAAAAAAAAAATATTTTTATTTAATTGTTTGAGCTGATTTTGTGGGCCCCACTGGCCTTCCATTTATTGAACAGTTAGCTGCTGCGGGAAGATAAAACAATGGCTGGAATCCGAAGTAGATTTCAGATTTTTATTTTATTTTATTTTTTACCCGTTTATATATAAGTATATAATTTGTTTGAAAAATAATTAAAGCATATTTAACTTGTAATAAGTAAAAAAAGAGAATTTGAAGAATTTTTTCTACTCTAATATTTGAAATTGTTTTTTTTAATTTTTTATTTGGGATAACGAATGTGGATGGCCATATGGTGAAAGAGGGAAGACTATAAAACGAAAGCCGGAAAGGTCAAACACTAGAAGTCGCGAGGATAGTAGATGTATTGCATATATAATTATAATTTTTTAATTAATTTTGTTATCAATATGTTGAATTTTTTAGCATATAGATAGACAAGAAGTAGAGGGTGGAAGTGGAGTCTCCGACTTTACCTTGCTGGCGATCCGAGATTTTCTATAAGAAGAAAGTTGTCCTTGACCCATGTGTCAGGCGATTAACGAGGTCATTTTTCTTGAAGGTGCAGAGGAAAGTCATCCTTGACCTATGTAGCAAACGATCAATGGTATGCTCTTTTGCATCGTTGGGAAGAAGAAAGTTATCATTGACCAGTGGGTGATATTCTTGCTTGTTGCTGTTGCGCGTTCCTATAGAGATGAAGAAATGTTGGAGTTTTTTCACCGTGCTTTGAGGGAGAGAATTTCCTGCTTATGTGGTAGCAATATCTCGAGATCCCTTGAAAATCTGCATAAGTATTGGAATTTCAGATTGGTGATGCCGACTCCACTTGATGATGAGCTGATTTATTGTAGCCATTGTACAAATATTTGTAGCCTTTCAATTTACTGATGTGGCATTTTGTACACGGTGATAATGCGCTTCTTTACTTTTTTCTCCAGCTTGATGTAATAAAAATATAGACGTTACTTATGAGGTTGTTTTTGTCAAACTTCTGGGGTGTTTTTACCCAACTTTTGGGTTGTCGCTATCTCTCTTTTGAGATATTGTTTATGTTGGCATCTACTGAGGTTTATACTTTTTGAGGTAACACGACTTTTAATTATGTGGAAGTCTGCAATCAAAGTTAGCATGTGCATTTAATATAAAAATGAATCGCGTATCTTTTGAGGCTCGTGCCTTTTGAGTTGTGCTCTTTTAGGTTTGTATCCTCAGAGGCTTATGCCTTATAAGTGCTTAAAATGTACTGATGTCTTTCGAGGCTCTTAGAATTCTGAGGATTCCAGCCTTCTAAAGTCATTGATGTACATATGTCTTCTAAGACTCGTAGCCTTCCGAGGTGTTTGATTTCCGTGTGTCTTCTGAGTCATGTAGCCTTCTGAGGTCTTTGAGTATAGACTCTGTTAACCACTTGCTCTCTTGAAGTCTATATAGTGAGGATCCTATCCATTTCTAGCTTTTCATTGAGACTTGTCTCTTGGGATTGTTTTCCTGGGGCATGATAGCTTCCTATTGAGTCTTGCCTCTTGGGCTCAACTTCAACTTCCAGGAGTGCCTTATATTCCCATTGAGGCTTGCTCCTTGGGTTCGACTTCAAGATGTAGTGGAGTACTGTATATTCCCGTCGAGTCTTGCCTCTTAGGCTCGACTTCCAAGGGGTCTAGTAGCCTCATATAAAGTCTTGCCTCTTGGGTTGGATTCTCAGGAGTAGTGTATCTTCCCATCGAGTATTGCCACTTGTGCTTGAATTCCAGGGGTATGGTTGAAAGGAGAATCCAATAAGGATTTAATAACCGTCCTGAGTTATATATCTAGAGATGCTCGACGACATTAACCTGTTACAAACAAAGTCATATGAAATCCATTAATGATGATTGACATATCCTAGGTTGTTGGTCGTAGTTTTTGCTTGACGACTGTAACCTATTATGAAGGAGATTGAAAAAAATCCACCAAG